AGGAGCGATCGGATATTGCTTGGAGCAGCCGACAAAATAAGGAGCCACATAAATTCAACATCTCCATATAAGGATGATGATAGTAGATTCAACATCTCCATGAAGGAGGGAATGAATCGGATGGGTCTCTCCTTGAGAGAAGAGAGGGAATTAGTCTCGCCGGATGTGGAGGAGAAGATGAGAGGAGGCTTGATCACAAACACGATCGAAGAGGTTTCGCTGGCATTGACCATCGGCGGCAGGAAACGAGCAGTTCTTTGGGAATAGGCTAGTTGACTCGCTGAGGTGGAGCAGAACTAATCAGCCAGAGGAGGATTATCGCCGGAAGAATAGAAACAAGATGAGTTTCTGGGTGCGGCTGCAGCTACCTCTAACTCGGAGCCTGAGAACGTTAGTAGCAGAAACTGAACGGGGGAGGATTGTTGCCGTCAGCTACCTCTAACTCCCGGACAGAAAAACATGAGTCTTAAATACCCAAATTTGTAGATGAAATCTTGATTGCATAGGCTAGCGGAGGATAGAGTATAAGAATCGGAGTTGAAGGAACTGAGCATCTGAATCCTTGCCAGTGGCATTTTCATGTATAGTGAAGGATGAGAAACGTGGCGGAGGAGATACGGGAGGGCAAAGGATGTAGCTGTCGGAGAGGGAGGAGGGTCTGGCGGATCCGGTGGATCTGGAGGCTCCGGCGGTTGGGGACACACTTGCAGTTCCAAGGGAGGCACCGCCGGAGGTTAAGAGGAGGCAGAGATCCGATCTGCAGAATGCGACGTACCGGCCGGGTAGATCGGGAAAACTTCACACAGTTCAACCATCACGACTGAGGAGGACGAGCACGGAGACCGGTGAGAACGCCGGTAAACTGAAACCAAAACTTCTCAGAAGGAGAAGTGGTCTCAGGCACCAGGGATCTCTGAAGAAGGTGATGCAGACACAGATCAAGAGAGAATGGCAGAAGGGCGGCTCCGGCGATCCATTCTACGGGCTTCAGGTCTTGGAGCGGCCACCTTGGAAGATGTGCCTGAGAGAGAATGAGGACTAGGGCGAACCCTCTTATATCTCAAACTTCAATACCGCCTAAAATAATCTAAATTAGCAAGTTATCACTTCTTAATTGTCAAATGTATTTTTTTCTGTCAGTTATTTACTTTGATTAATTTATTTAATTTTGTATAGAAAAATATCATGTTTCTGATCACATTGGGATTTCAAGATTCTTATTTAATTCCAACATTCATGAGGCACATGAGCTGAGGGCTATGATGTGAGATTTTTATTTGATATCTTCAGTATTCGCTATTATGTTTTGATGTGGGATTTTTATTTGTCTATCAGATGCGAAGAAGTTGGAAACTGATCATGTTTGTTTATATTTTAACAGACTTGGAGACTTTGATAAAGATGATGATGATGTCGAGCAAGAGTCTTCTTCATAATTAGATGTTTCAAGATCTAAAATTTGTATTTTTTTTTTTGAATTTTATATATTCTCATCTAATTTTTGGTTTGTTATGTTTTTTGAGACTTTGTCTTTGTTCGATATTATTCCTGATTATCGTGTTCTTATGCTTTCAGAGTATTTTTGTTATGGTTATATTTTGTTATTCTTGCATTTGATATTTGATGAGATTTACATATTAAGTTTATGTGTTTACAATCACAGTGGTCTGCAATAGTTTTAGGGGGATGTATTCAACTTAACATTTGAAATGATTTGGAAAAATTTGAGTTTTAATGAGTTTTTAGATGATTTTGTTGAATTATAGAAATTGTTATGATTTGATATCAAAATTCTATCAAACTCCACATAAAATCATGGGATTTGTATTCTTATATTTTTAACTAGGATATTCCATCAAAACATCTTAAAGTCACTCCAAGTTTTTTAAAATCCACTACTTAAATTATTTCTAATAACAGTGAATTTGAAGTTACATTTTCTAATCACTAGTTCAATAACACTGAATTTTAAACAACTTTTTAAAATTTATGTTTCAATAACAGAGAATTTATGATTTTAATACAAATCACTATAGATAATAGAAGACTATGGTAAAGCTTCAGGGCAGAAGCTAAACTGCTCGAAATCATCTGTTTTATTTGGGAGCAAGGTAGGGCCAGAATGCAAAAACGAGATAAAAGACACCCTAGGGATACACCAAGAAGGCGGAATGGGGGTTTACTTAGGACTACCAGAGAACATTTGTGGATCGAAGAAGCAAGTATTTTCTTTCATTCAAGACCGTCTCAGCCAAAGGATCAATACCTGGTCCTCAAAACTCCTCTCAAAAGGAGGAAAGGAAGTTCTGATTAAGTCAGTAGCACAGGCGCTGCCTACTTATGTCATGTCATGCTTTCTTCTTCCGAAGTCTATTCTGAAGAAACTCAATGGAGCGATTTCCCAATTCTGGTGGAGTACAAAACAATCAAATAAAGGCCTACATTGGATAGCCTGGAATAAAATCTGCACTGACAAAGATAAAAGGGGTTTAGGATTCAGAGATCTAAATAGTTTCAATATAGCATTGCTTGCGAAACAATTATGGCGACTAATCCATTACCCATCGTCCCTGCTGGCCCACGTTCTGAAAGCAAGATACTACAGATTTTCCTCCCCATTAGAAGTGGAGCGAGCAAGCAATCCCTCATACGGGTGGCGGAGTATTATGGCGGGTAAAGAGCTACTGATTGCAGGACTGAGAACATCGATAAATTCAGGAATCAGTACAAAAGTGTGGTATGATAACTGGATACCAGTCTGTCCACCCCGCCTGGCCCGAGATAATGGTGGTGCGAGAGATATGGACCTCTATGTCCATCATCTTATTGATCTAGATACCCTAGCATGGCGTACACCACTTCTAGACCTTCTTTTTGATCCGGACGAAGTTCCGCGTATAAAGAGTATACGACCCAGCATAGCATATAAACCAGACAGACTAATATGGGCATACTCGAAATCAGGGATGTATACGGTTAGAACTGGATACAACCTAGCGATCCAACTGAAAGAAGCAGGGAGCGGGCCACAAGTTCTAGAACCAAGTCTTAACCCCTTAAAAACAAGAATATGGGACCAAAAGACATCGGGGAAGATTAAACATTTTATGTGGCAAGCCCTCTCAGGATGCATAGCTGCCAACAACCAGCTGGTTAACCGCCATTGTGGGACAGATCGTCAATGCCCAAGGTGTGGAGAGACTGAAGAGACAATAAACCATGTACTCTTCGAATGTCCTCCAGCTACACAGGTGTGGGCATTAAGTACGATACCATCCCCTCCGGGAATCTTCCCGTGCTCGGTTATATCACAAAATTTTGCTTACCTTACCGGACGAGCTTCCGAGCAAGGGGTTCCCAAGACAAGCTTAGAGATGTACCCCTGGATACTCTAGTATATATGGAAGGCTCGCAATGAAAAGGTTTTTAATAACAAGGATGTCTCACATACTGAGACTCTTGAGATAGCTACACAAGAAGCAGAGTCTTGGAGAATGGCGCAAATTATTGACCAAAAAGTCGTAGCAAGAGAGGCTAGTCTGGCACCTACACCAGGGGAACGCCAAGGAGTACAAGAGCAGAGATGTGAACTAGGGATCGCGAGATGTCAGGTAGATGCCTCTTGGAAACAGGAGAGTCTAATATCTGGTGAAGGCTTTTTCCTGGAGCGTGAAGACAGGAGACGGATGGTAGGCCTGATGGCAATTGACCAAGTCCTATCCCCAAACTTCATGCGGAGATGGAAGTCCTGTTATGGGCTATGCGAGTTCTCACACCCAGCCAAATTCCTGGACTGATTTTTTAAACAGACTGCCAGATGTTGGTAAGACTTATAGAAGAAGAAGAGGAATGGCCAGCGTTAGCAACAGAGTTAGAAGAATTTGAGATCCTCAAATCTTATCTTCATGAATTTTTTCTTGAATTTATTCCTTGTAATCTTAATGTTCGGGCTGATTGTCTTGCAAAAAGCGCTCAAAATCGAGAATCCCATTTCTCCTATGTAAACAATTCTCTTCCAAACTGGTTGGAATCTATATGGATAGAATTTATAACGGGGTCTCGAAAAACAAGTAATTTCTGCTGGGCCTTTATCCTATTTTTAGGTTCATTAGGATTCTTATTGGTTGGAACTTCCAGTTATCTTGGTAAAAATTTTATATCGTTATTTGCCTCTCAGGAAATCGTTTTTTTTCCACAAGGGATTGTGATGTCGTTCTATGGGATCGCAGGTCTCTTTATTAGTTGCTATTTGTGGTGCACTATTTTGTGGAATGTGGGTAGTGGTTATGATCTTTTCGACCGAAAAGAAGGAATAGTGCGTATTTTTCGTTGGGGATTTCCTGGAAAAAGTCGTCGCATCTTTTTACGATTCCTTATGAAAGATATTCAGTCCATCAGAATAGAAGTTAAAGAGGGTGTTTCGGCTCGGCGTGTCCTTTATATGGAAATTAGAGGTCAAGGGGCTATTCCTTTAATTCGTACTGATGAGAATTTTACTACACGAGAAATTGAGCAAAAAGCTGCTGAATTGGCTTACTTCTTGCGTGTACCAATTGAAGTATTTTGAAATGAATTCATTTTCAAAGACTAAATGTTTTGGCAGTAGGAAGAAAAAACTAAAGAATTTATTTCTTTTTTTTTTTAATTGAACATTCATCTACTCTTAATATGCTCTTTTTTTGATATATTTGATAGAAAAGACAGGGAGTTTCTTCGTCTCGAAAATAGAATAATATTTTTTATTTTAAAAATTTTCAAAAGTTCTTTTAGTATTGATCGAAAAAAAGGGAGAATAACATCCTGGAAATCCAAATTTTTTCTTGATTCAAATTGGAAGTGTACTCTGAGTCTATTTCTGCATTCTTTATAGATTCAAAGCAAAGACTAAGTATTGAATCAAAAGAAAAAGATAAAATGGATTCATAGGCTCAATACATTCTAGTCGAATTATAATATAAACTCACGCTCGATAGAAATATTAGATCTAATAGAATCAACAAATGCGGTAGGTTCATTAACAATTCACAGATTAAAAATGGCAAAAAAGAAAGCATTCATTCCTTTTTTTTATTTTACATCTATAGTCTTTTTGCCCTGGTTGATCTCTCTCTGCTGTAATAAAAGTTTGAAAGCTGGGATTACTAATTGGTGGAATAGTAGACAATGCGAAACTTTTTTGAATGATATTCAAGAAAAAAGTGTTCTAGAAAAATTCATACAATTAGAGGAACTATTCCAGCTGGATGAAATGATAAAGGAATACCCAGAAACCGATTTACAACAATTTCGTCTAGGAATACACAAAGAAACGATCCAATTCATCAAGATACACAATGAGTATCGTATCCATACAATCTTGCACTTCTCGACAAATCTAATATCTTTCGTTATTCTAAGTGGTTATTCCTTTTGGGGTAAGGAAAAGCTTTTTATTCTGAATTCTTGGGTTCAAGAATTCCTATATAATTTAAGTGATACAATTAAAGCTTTTTTGATTCTTTTATTAACTGATTTATGTATCGGATTCCATTCGCCTCACGGTTGGGAACTAATGATTGGTTATATTTACAAAGATTTTGGGTTTGCTCATTATGAGCAAATTTTATCTGGTCTAGTTTCTACCTTTCCAGTCATTCTTGATACAATTTTTAAATATTGGATCTTTCGTTATTTAAATCGTGTATCTCCGTCACTTGTAGTGATTTATCATGCAATAAATGACTAAAAAATGATTCACTGATCCAATTCTAATATTTCTTACCTTATACATCATAACCAAATCAAAGTCGTATTTACTTTACTCTTTTTACCCACGTGGGGATTCCTTGTATATTTAAAAAAAAAAAATTTATTTTTTCAGTAAATGTAAATAGCAGAATTGTGGCTAGGGAAGTATATTATTGACCTACCTAACTTTATTGTAGAAATTTTCGGGATAAATGATTGGACCATGCAAACTAGAAATACTTTTTCTTGGATAAGGGAAGAGATTACTCGCTCCATATCTGTCTCACTCATGATATATATAATAACTAGGGCATCCATTTCAAGTGCATATCCGATTTTTGCCCAGCAGAATTATGAAAATCCACGCGAGGCAACCGGGCGTATTGTATGTGCCAATTGCCATTTAGCTAGTAAGCCTGTGGATATTGAGGTTCCACAAGCGGTACTTCCCGATACTGTATTTGAAGCAGTTGTTAAAATTCCTTATGATATGCAACTAAAACAAGTTCTAGCTAATGGTAAAAAGGGAGCTTTGAATGTGGGAGCTGTTCTTATTTTACCCGAGGGGTTTGAATTAGCCCCCCCCGATCGTATTTCACCCGAGATGAAAGAAAAGATAGGAAATCTGTCTTTTCAGAATTATCGCCCCAATAAAAAAAATATTCTTGTGATAGGTCCTGTTCCTGGTCAAAAATATAGTGAAATAACCTTTCCTATTCTTGCCCCAGACCCTGCTACTAATAAAGATGTTCACTTCTTAAAATATCCTATATACGTAGGTGGAAACAGGGGAAGAGGTCAGATTTATCCTGATGGTAGCAAAAGTAACAATACAGTTTATAATGCTACGGCAGGAGGGATAATAAGCAAAATTTTACGAAAAGAAAAAGGGGGATACGAAATAACCATAGCGGATGCATCGAATGAACGCCAAGTTATTGATATTATCCCTCGAGGCCTAGAACTTCTTGTTTCAGAGGGCGAATCCATTAAACTCGATCAACCATTAACGAGTAATCCTAATGTGGGTGGGTTTGGTCAGGGGGATGCGGAAATAGTACTTCAAGATCCATTACGTGTTCAAGGCCTTTTGTTTTTCTTAGGATCGGTTGTTTTGGCACAAATCTTTTTGGTTCTTAAAAAGAAACAGTTTGAGAAGGTTCAATTATCCGAAATGAATTTTTAGATCTGTCTATTTAGCTTTATCAAATTCGTAAAAAAGAACAAAAAAAATGATGAAAAGCCTTTTGCCTCTCTTTATATTTTCTATTACTTTTCGACCAGGTGTCAGGAATTACTTGTATCATAGTCCATGTATATTGAGAAGAATTCACTTTAACCCCCTTTTATTTATTTTTCAATACAAATTTGAAAATTTATAAGGGGTCGGATGTAACTCTGTGGTTAGTGACCAATTGAAATTGATAGAATGTATTAATAATCAAGAGTTTTTTTTTCTATTTTTTCTATTAGAATGCAAAAATTTGACTAGATACTAAAACTAGATACTAAAATAAGATAAGGAAAGCAGGCGCAGAAAAAAAAGGGAACCATAAATCGGCGAAACAACTAATTTTGGGGCTATAGGGAGTATTATTTGTCTTGCTAGTCTTCGACACAAGAAAAGAAAAGGATGTCTAAAATTCCTTTTATTGTGTCGATCTTGTACGTCTGGATTCCATTCGTTAAAATTCCTATTCTTAGTTTACATATCTATTACTGTTTATATATATATAACGTTTTAATATATATATTAATTAATAGTACTTACTTTCTGATTTTTTTATTTATTTTTATTTAAATTTTTATGAAATACTAAAAAAATCAGAAAGTAAGTACTATTAGTATAGACAAAATTTGAATACTATTAGTATAGACAAAATTTGAATAATAAATCTGCTGATAAAAAAATATTGTGTCAGCCGGGAAAGCAGGAAAAGGAAATTAAGTGATTCCCCTTTTTTATTCTATCTTTGAAAGGTTAATAAATACTATATGTTCTCAATCTACTAATCTAATTAAGTTCACTTTTCAAAAACACGATAAAAATTTGTTCTGATTATTCGCAGTTCAACGGGACCCCCTCGAATCAGACAAAGAAGGAAGAGTTGGGCCCCGTTGAGTTCTTATGTTTTCACGTCTATAACTCAGTTCATCCAATTTCTACAGGGATGAACCTAATCCTGAATATGAACCATAAAAGAAAATACCTATTAAACCGATCACAAGAATACCAGCTACAGTACCTATTACCCAAAGAGGAATCCTTCCAGTAGTATCAGCCATTTATCTCGCTTCCCTCCACATTTCATCGAGTGGTCATGCTAGAAACATAAACAGTCAGAGATAATTATGATATATAATCCATCCGAATGGGATAAGAAAATTACTACTCTTTCTTTTTTATTTTATTATTCTACGCTCTTTTCTTAATTGAAGAAATAATTCGAAAATAAAACAGCAAGTACAAAAATTAGTAATAACCCCCAATAGAGACTGGTACGATTTAATTCAACATTTTGTTCGTTCGGATTTGATTGTGTCATAGCTCTATAATTGAATTAGGTTTATCGTTGGATGAACTGCATTGCTGATATTGACCCCAAAAAAGAAACGGTTAGGTACAGCTAGTCCATGAACAGCCAACCAGCGCACTGTAAAAATTGGATAGGTCCTATCTATAGTCATTGGGTCCTCCTAAAAAGATCTACTAAATTCGTCGAGTTGTTCCAAAGGATCAAAACGGCCTGTTATTAATGGAATGCCTTGTCGGCTCTCTGTAAAATACTCGTTTGGACGAGGGCTCCCAAACACATCGTAAGCTAAACCGGTGCTGACAAATAACCAGCCCGCAATAAATAGGGAAGGTATAGTAATGCTATGAATGACCCAGTATCGAATACTGGTAATAATATCAGCAAAAGAACGTTCTCCTGTGCTTCCAGACATACTGAACTCCAGATATTCTCGTAGGGAATCGATTCTGTAAAAGATGAATAAGTAAATTCAAATTTACTGAGATTACATCTTTGTGAGATCGTCAATAAAGTACCAAGGGTATTTTTAGAGTCTACCGAATCAGTATAGCTACCCTTCTTCTGACACAGCAACGCAATTTGAATTAGTATAGAAATGAGCTGTTAGATAATTTATATTTTTTTTTATCTTGCTTGTCGATGTATAACCATGTCCCACTTCTTAAAATTCCTGTACCTGTAATCTATAGAGACTTCGATCCTTTATTCGTTTTGGACTATAAAACAAACTCAAGATTAGATAAAATTAAAATCCAAGAGATTAGTTTCTAATTATAATAATTCATTAAGGAAATTCTCATATTGTCCCAAGTCAATTGAATCCAAAAACCATAAATTGCATTTTCGCTGTATATGCATACTTGTAGAAGCTATTTTTTTTTTAATGATAATGTGATCCTCCCCTTTTGCTTTTTGTTTCATTTTAAGGAATGAATTTCCAGTAACAAGAAAAAGAAGAATCGTTTTGGATCAATTAAAAAGAACAACAAATAATAAAAATAATAATAATACTAAATATTTCTAATGCGTGCGTTGTTTTATTGTATTCAATTCAAAGGTTTTTTATTTCTTTAACTAACTACAAAGATGATGGGTTTTTCACTCTATTTTCTATATAATCTCGAAAGAAAAAAACCTAAAACCTAGAAAGTAAACGATAATAGAAATTGCTAATTACAAGTTTTAAAAATCTAGTTAAAATAAATATTTTTTTTATTGAAACTTAGGGAAGTACTTTAGAAACATATGTATAAATAAACATATTTTATTGAGTCCCTTCATGCCTACTATAACTAGTTATTTCGGTTTTCTACTAGCGGCTTTAACTATAACCTCAGTTCTATTTATTGGTCTAAGCAAAATACGACTTATTTGAAATTAATTGAATGAAGATTTTTTTATAAAAAAGGATTTATATGGTATTTCATATGTTCGATAGTTAATTACCCAATGTTAATTACCCAATTTTGGTCGTTGAGATTCATCGGCAATACAGATTAAGAGCTAGGAATAGATAGTACCTCTCTTTTCTCCCTTTCAAAAATTAAAACAAAAGAAAATTGAAATGATTGAAGTTTCTTTATTTGGAATCGTCTTAGGTCTAATTCCTATTACTTTGGCTGGATTATTCGTAACTGCTTATTTACAATACAGACGTGGTGATCAGTTGGACTTTTGATTAATTAACATCTTTTTTTTTTACTTACCTCCTTCGTGCGTTCATGTGCGGTAGGTCTAATTCAGATTGCTGCTCAATTATTTGCGAACAGTGGAATTTTGACACAATCTAATAAACAAGAGTGACATCACGCTCTGTAGGATTTGAACCTACGACATTGGGTTTTGGAGACCCACGTTCTACCGAACTGAACTAAGAGCGCTTTTCTTGTTTTTTATAAAAAACTAAAAGGCTACAATGAGGGCATTTTTTAACCCCAATCGATTTTGTACGTATATACTATATCATAGTATATCATAAATTTCATAATTATATGTATGTCCCATTTTATTAAAAAAAGATAGATCTAAAATAGATCCCTCGTTACTGCTCTTCTGAGCAGTAATAGGTAGGGATGACAGGATTTGAACCCGTGACATTTTGTACCCAAAACAAACGCGCTACCAAGCTGCGCTACATCCCTTTCAATTGGTTTACAGTGTCATTGTAGAGAATTCCTGTCTTGTTTTTCCACATCCCGCTTTTTTTTATCTCATATCAGATAACAAACATATATATAATTAACAAAATTACTTTTTTTTTACAAGAATTCTCTCAATTTCCATTTTACATAAATAGGCGTTTCCATTTGAAAATGGAATCTATAAGATCGTTCTAGTAGACAATATTTCAATTATAATTTTGAAGGTTACGTATACAAATACAAGACCTTCTTAACTACATGTACATCTGTAGTTATATATATTACTATATATAATGTAATACAATTAAAGAAGAAAGAAGGAGGATTTCAAATGCGAGATCTAAAAACATATCTTTCCGTAGCACCGGTACTAAGTACTCTATGGTTCGGTTCGTTAGCAGGTTTATTAATAGAGATTAATCGTTTATTTCCAGATGCATTAACATTTCCCTTTTTTTAATTCTAGTTATTAACATCAGAAAGGGTTAAAAAATTTAGAGATACGATCAACGATCGGGGACTAATTCTCCCCCCCCCCCCTTTTTTTCTAATTCATTCAAAAAAAATAATTAGAAAAGGGGGGGGGCGAAAGGTCATAAAAACTAGGGTTCAGGATCCAATTAAATTAGTAATAGAACGAAAAAAGGTGTTGCTAGGGAAAAAGTATCCTATGAGATACTTAAAAAAAATACTGTACAAGGATTTTAAATATAGTTTTCAAAAAATCATTGTATTGCTTAACAATTTATTTTTTTATTTAATTACTAATTAATATTCATTGCAACTAAATATTTCAGCAATTTTTTTAGTTAACAGCTTCTTTTTTTTTTTTTTCTTCTTGTTCTTTCTGGATCCTAAAATGAAAATAGAAGATTGGGGTGAATCATAAAGCCAAAGGAGGTTTCATGGCCAAGGGTAAAGATGTTCGAGTAACAATTATTTTGGAATGTACCAGTTGTGTTCGAAATGATATTAAGAAAGAATCCGCGGGAATTTCCAGATATATTACTCAAAAGAATCGGCATAACACCCCTAGTCGATTGGAATTGAGAAAATTCTGTCCCTATTGTTATAAACATACAATTCACGGGGAAATCAAGAAATAGATCAAATTGAGTGCTTGTATGTCAACTTTTATTTTAAGAACAGGAATAATGATAAGATCTATATATTATTACATATATATAAATATAAACAAAAAAATCAATATAAAGAGATCTAATCCTATATTCTTAATTCTATATAGAAACACTATCCTATATAGAAATAGAAATCGTTTTTATTTTGATTCGATAAAAATAGGATTTTAGAGATAAGGAATAAAAAAATTATGAATAAATCTAAGCGACCTTTTACTAAATCCAAGCGATCTTTTCGTAGGCGTTTGCCCCCGATCCAATCGGGGGATCGAATTGATTATAGAAACATGAGTTTAATTAGTCGATTTATTAGTGAACAGGGAAAAATATTATCTAGACGGG